GATTAATAAATAAAACATCCATTCCTTCTTTAGAAATTGCTTTGCTTACATTAGAATACTATACTGAACATATATGTTTATTTCGAGAGTTAGAGAAAAATCTGTGTTTAAAGGTTCTATTCAATATATATATATATATATATATATATATATATATATATATATATGTGTGTGTGTGTGTGTGTGTGTGTGTGTGTGTGTGTGTGTGTGTGTAAAAGAGTGTTGAAAAGTTCTTGAATCAGCCCATCTCACTTCCCAAATCAATATTCTGATGGTTGGTTATTGAATAATGATTTCGAGGAATGAGTAGAGCAAAGAACTTTTTCGGCATCCCCACCTATATATCATGAATAATACTTACGAAATCAATTGTATGATATTCGATGAGGCAGAAACCAAACTATGATTCTATTTCCCTTAAAATTCGATACATGATCTACGACCTATTTTCTACCGAACTTCTAATAATGTGATCTCATTCAGCACAGGTGATAGTAAAACGCGTGCAATATTATTTCTTTCTTCCTCCTATGATTTGTCACCTTACCAGAAGGCTACTCACCAATCGATACTTCTATTTCTTTTCGCTTAAGGATGTTTCGTGATCCGGTATTAGATGAGTCACAATGACCTGGGTACTTACCAGGTACAGACAATACTTAAACACAATAGAAAATATTAAAATATTTCCGACAGCAAGCATTTTTTTTTCAATATTCAAGCACTATTTCTTATTTCAATAGATTTTTGTAATACTTTTTTTCTTGTTTCTATTTATTCTACTGTTTCACAGTTTTTGGAAACTTTCCAATCGTTCCGGTAACGATAGCTTAAAGGCTTAAGTTCACTCAAGATTAAGTTTAAATTCACTCAAGATTTCAGCTGAAACTCATACACTGCAGGCTGAAATCTTAAGGCCAATGAAAATGAAGAAAAATATACCCATTCCTTTGTTAGAATCAACCACATTTGAGTAGAGTTTCAAAAATGAAAATAAGAAAAGGGAACGTAAAAAAATGTTTAGCATTTAATTGGGAAAATTTGAATAATGGGAAATTAGGTTAAATACTAGCTGGTCAAAGTTTAAGACAATATTTAAGCGAGGCTTTAATTTCTAAAGACGTAACGAAATTTAGTCAATTGCGTTCGAGCAAATCTTTTTTCTAGGCTCTACTCAAATAGGTGGTTTACCCCAACAACGCAAAATGTATTTTTTTCCTTTATTTTCACTGGCTTTAAGATTTGGGCCAACAGTGTATACCCTACGCATCGCTATAATCCTGGGAAAATAACCGGCTTTTTGTTACGCTCCTGCTTTATCTTTAAAAAAAATAAGACCAAGAATAGAATATTGCTGCTATGCTGGGCAGGATCTATCCAATTCTAATTTTACAGTCTTGATAGACTTCGAAATCGCTTACTCAGTCTTGATGGGGGATAACATATTTTCCCTTCGCAAGCCTATCGCTTCTCTATTGCTATTTCTATAGAAAATGTTCAGACGAATTCCACTCTTTAGTTCCACCATTTCAAACATTTACACCTAGTACTCGCCATATTACATCCGTGGAGTCGAATCACACACATTTCCTCTGTATTCAATTTATAAGAAAATAAAAAAGTCCTACTCCGATTTTTCTCAAGTATCAGTATTTTGTAGAACACAATACCTCGTGAATGCTACCCTGATCACTACATTCTAAATCTCTTCAAGTCAAAGGTAGATCACTATCTATCCGCCTCATTCCCATAATCCTCACTTCCTTCTTCTTCCTCTTACATTCATATCACATACCTCATTCACTAACCCTCTACCTTGAATAGCTCTTGAACCTTTAATTGGGTGGACTTTAATATAAAAGAATAGGTACAGTCCTTACTCTTGCAATGTATTTTGTTCTCTGGCAAGATTCTAACTTTCATCAATTTTCAATATGGATCTTGTTTTTTTCAAATTCACTCTCTTGCCTTCAGGAAGGACGACATATCTTAGATTCGAAAGTCCTGCCGCATTTGTAGATGGAAAAGAAAAAAAATGCTTTTTGGTCTTAATCAATATAGCATTTCGCCTCTTTAACGATAGCATGATCCTATCGATTTAGCAAGCTGTTGATCCTTCAGGTGTAACATTGTCCAGGTTTCGGTGCAGAGAAATACTCAATATAATTTTTCCCTCTAAAAAAAACGATCTGAAAAGAAAATAGTCAGATGGAGCAAGGTCAGGAGAGTAAGGAGGATTAAATAAGTCTGTGAGATTGTTTTTTGGGGGTGGTAGTACCTGTTAGAATCCCAGCTATGGGCAAATAGTGATCCCCCCAAATTAAAAACAATATGCTATGAAAGTATAAAAATACATTTTTATAGTAAAATGACTAACAATACCTATTTATAGTAAAATGACCATCAATAAATATTTAACGCAAAATGACCAGCAATGCATTTTGTAGCAAAATGATCAACAATACATTTTATTTGTATTTAAAGACATAAAACTGCGTTTAAATTATTTTGATTTCGGAATTAAATAACCCATAGAGGTTGATATGCCGCTAAACAAAACCAAATACTCAACCAAATAATGACTGTTTTACTCTGTACTACTCCAAAAAG